GAAAAAAATTCTATAAGAATTTATGAATTTATTTTCAAGACAGGTACCAATATTTAGTCATTCAGTGCAATACTTATTATAGCACGCAATCACGATGAAATGAAAATAACTTATTGACTAAATATACTAGAATAAAATTATTCAAAGGTAAAACCAAATCCGTGGTCCCAATTACCTAGCTTTCAAAAGCATCAGCTGAAGTGATAGAATTTTATCAGGAAATAAACCAATATTTAAAAATATAGATACCATATTATTTAGTTCTATCCCTTCTGGTAAATGAATCTCCGATTTCTTTTTTGTTTCTAGTATTTTCAGTAGTGACTGATCGACAGGATGCTTTGAATCTGCGGCATGATCTATTGCAAGATTCTGATCAGTAGATGCTCGATGTGACAGGAGGGGAGATAATAACTGGAACAGAAGAAGTCGGAGATAATAGTATGATGAGTGGCATTTCATTGTCGCTACTGCACAACTTCGTGACAATGCATATATACACTCACGCTGAAAAAGGTTTTGCATGTTTATGCCAGAATATTGGAAAAGTCAGTTAGTTTGCTAACTTAATTAATGTAAGTGTTTTAATTTCCGATAAATACAATAAAGTCAATCATCAGAATTTCATTACAGTGAATTGGTAAACGTGAAAGTACTACAACCATATCATATGTGCTAATTTTGCTAGTATTGCACATAACTTTGATCGCTTCAAATTTTCAATACAGAATATGTGTTATGAGACACACAAAGACTAAGCCGCCATTGCTGACAAGAAATACCACCTCACGTAACATTTACAAATAACCTGTCTGGCATTCCATGCTCCAAATAATGGCTTATCGCCACGACGAAGTACTGCTGCAATTGAACGAAGTGAAAATGCAGCTGTTTGGAACGTAGAAACGGCTTCCACAATTTCCCGATTGAAATAACCGGAAGTTCCGTCATTTTGCAAATGCTGTAAATTTTCAAAATATAACTCCTAGCTCATAATGTGAAACAGATGTGAGATTTCTCAAACGATTAGTAAAGGACAACAATCATCAAACTGACAATTTTTAACATTATATGATCGTAGGAAATGCTTGAATGACTCAGATAGCAAACATCCTTAATAAGATTAATGCTAAGGTCATCTCTTAAGCATTTCGTGATGGCGATAATGTGATATTATAAGAGAAGTTTTGGACTCCTAACGAATAACTAACCAAATTTGTTTGTTTCAGGAAATAATCCACCATATCCCAAATCGCTGGTGAAAAATGTGTTCGCACACTAGAAATTATTTTCAATGAGTATCGAATTAAAATAAAATCTGATCAATTCTTCTCATCTTCTTCAAGAATCAGGATTTTTTATTTTTTTGCTCCTTCATAATTTCAGCTACTTATAAACTGATTCTACAAATCCCTCATTTTTCATTAAACACAGAATTTCAGAAGGAGAAAATGAAAATTCATTGAAATACCAAAAATACCGCACCTATCATTCTGTTGCTTTTCCGGCTGAGTAAGCATGTCTTTGATTTTATGCATTACATCCGGAATAGACGTAAGGATTGCAAAGAAACGTCCGTCAGGGCCACTTTGCCTTTTCGCAGTTGTCTTCACTGCGTTTTCTTCGTTATCGTCTACCTCCATCAATTCATCCGATTCTAAAAATTGCAATTTATCTTTCATTTCGACATGCACAACTTAGCATGCATCGAGGTTTAACACATTCTAATCTGTGCTTGTAAGGAACCATCGTTCATTAACTGACTATAATTATTCCTGTCCTTATCTCTTATTTTTCTATATTCCATCAGAATTTTGAAGCTAAATTACAGGATGTGATATTTTTGACCATTAAAATTCTTCCATCAAAAGAGATCTGACGGCAGCAGAAAATACGACAGTATATCACCTTCAGAAAACAGCAAAGAAAAAAAAATATTTAGAGCTTACTGGGGTGCACAACTGGATTCGTTTCCGTCATAAAGGATATGGTGGATGTAGAGGGAGCCGATGCTGATAATGTATTTCCAGTTTCGGCTTCTCGACCAGCTAATTCCATCAATGACCGTTCCGAATGTGACCTAAATTTTATTTTCCATTCAATCTTGAATGGAAAAACAAGAAAAGCATCCATTTATTCAAAGCGTTTACAGCAATGCATAAAAAATTAAAGGGAACCCCACAAACCTCTTCTTGCTGTGACCTTTGAATGATTTGTCATTACTGATAGAGCATAGGCCATCGAAAAATCCAAAGAAACGGTTTATCCAATCTTCAAATTCGATATGCCTTTCTTTATGAGCAATTCTGCAAAATTAGTTGAAAATAATCACATGTGCGGGATATAATGATAACTGAAACATTTAAAGTTTAAGGAACTATATATGAAAACAACATTTAACGAATCTGGAAAATGTCTTCACGTAGAGAAAACGAACATGATTAATTCAATAGAATTTTCATTATAAAAGTGCTCGAACCATAAGAAATAAAGGCTAAAAAACTTGTATAAAAAAAGTTGACATCCGTATACCTGTCCGCGAAAACTTGTGCAAGAGGAGGTAGAATTGGTAGTATCGTATTACTCAGACGTTTGCATAGCGGGCACAGATATTCACCAGAATTAACATCAAGCACACGCGGATTATATGCCATGAGTTGTCGATTACGGCCACGATCGCGATCTTTCAGCAATTCAGAAAATCTAAGAAATGTAATCGTATCAAAACCAAATAATTCACTGTCATATTGTAACATAAAATAGTAATCCTATAACACTTTTTTAGTACACATGACAATCGATAAAAAGCACTATAAAATAATAAACATTTTTTATTCGCAGCAGAATGAATTCTTACTTTTTGTAGCAATTAAAATGCATTACATGACCACATGTTGAAGCTCCAGGACCATTTCGAAGAGAAGCGGATAGAAATACCTTGGACAATTCTGATGCAGCCTCTTCCTCTTGTTTAAGCCTTGCAAATAGTGATGATCTGAAAGCAAGGAATTGAAATTTCATTGAAGCATCCGGAAAAATTATTCAATTCCATCTACTGCTGGTAAAATGTTGAAGCAGTTGTTGCTGAAATAGAAGAATACAACCAATCTGTGTAATGTGATGAAACGAGAAATTCGACGGGACTATAAATGCTGATTTTTTAGAAAAACTATTTAGAATAAAATTCCAATAAGTTCAGTACACGACATCCATCATAAAAACATATAAAACTCAATACATTTACTTTTGCATAAGTGCAGCACATACTAGTGCTTGACCATCCGCTGTAACATCTTCATCTTCCTGGCATAGAATACATGTAATTCGACGACAATCATCACATCTGGCAGTGATTCGATCGATGCCCAAACAAGTCGGAAAACCGCTCCCTTGTGGTAAAATCCTAAATAAAAACAAGAAATCTGTGGAGATAATACACTGTTGTAAAACAAAGTTTGAAAGAAGTGTAGTGTGCTATAACATCTAATTTTATGGAAACATGGAAAAAAAGACAAAAAAGTATGAATGATTAAGTTTTTCGATTCCACTCCAAGAGGAATTTAGAACGACACTTACCCTAATGGCTCTTCATCCTCATCATGTCTTTGAGGTTCTTTTCCTTCAAGAAATTCCCTTCCAAGCAAATCTTGGTTTTGTGTTACAAATTGCTTCTGCAGCCGATTCATCTATAGAATTTCGAGATTTACCAAAGTCAAGAAAATAAATAAGCATTAAATGTAAATTTCGTTAGCATTAAAGGCAAATTTTGGATATTTTTACCTGATCCATTGCCTGTTTTCGCTTTTTAGCTGCAATCGCCGCTTTTCTGGCTTTGATTTCTGATTCGGATACTTCCGACTTCAGTTCCGGCAGTACAACAGTTCCTTTGCTCTGTGATTTCGTCTTTTCATAGCGCTAAAAAATATTCTGGATATTTATTTGTGTCGATGTACATTGGGTCAAAAATTAGATTTTTTTTCGACAAAACGAATTTTTACGGTGATTTCAAGTCTCACTTAATTTCTCGCCCTTCAATCTCAATTCCTCAACCCTAATTATGATTATAGTTTTATTTATTGCATCCAGTAGAATTTTAATCACCACAAAATAAAGATGATAACCTCAAGCAAATATCCCAGAAGATCAGCATGTGGTTCTGATTCAGGTTTTCCAGTCAAGCTCTTCATCACTGTAAATACATTAGCCTCTTCAGCACAACTGATGAAGTCGAAGTTCTTGTTCATGGCCTGCTCATTAAGGCCCATTCCCACAAGGAAAAGCGCCTACAAAAAGAAAGTTAGATATTTCAGTAATATAGTCGAAAAATACAGTGCTTGAAAAATACATAGCAAATTTTGTTACCGAAAATTGCACCTATTTTATGTCTCAAGTTCGAATAAACACTTACAATTTTACCAAAGTGTTAGCATTATTTTGAAGAAAGTAACAATAAAGAATACCGAAG